TCATTTCTGGTTTAAATTGAGATCCCTTCCCTTTATAACTCACTTATCCTCCGCCATTCCCAAGTCAAGGGTCGTATATACTGACCCAATAGCATATCTTGAAAACTAGAGCCAATCAACAATTTTAAGCATCATTTTCGTTCTCAGTGATCCAGAATTAGTAAAGTTTGACTACATTTATTTCAGAAGCTGTCGAGCAGTGTAGTCTGAGTTCAAAGGCAGGCTTCAGTTCTGGAGTCTCCAGCAACAGTGGACTGCCTCTGAATTCCAGCTGAAAGGCATTACTCATTTGTGTGAAAGAGAAGCTGTGACAGCAGCACTAGACATTGTTTCTGCTATGAGCTCTTTACTGTATCAAACAACAAAAGCAAAAACAAAAACAAAAAAATAACCCCACCCCCTCCGCCCCCATCACACATTATGGCATTTTAGTGCTAGATATGTGATCAGGGAAAATTCCTCATCAACTTTAAGTTCAGTTCCAAATCCTTTTTCTCTTACTACTTTAGGAAACTGCACATAAACAGATTAACTTGATGTTCAATTTTGTTTTTACTTTTCTTGTTTATTAAGTTTATGTTTGAATGAAATTCTTAGTCTATAGAAGTTGAATACTTCTATTGACAATTGTATCTACCTTAATTTCCCTTAGAATGTATATTTGCAATCGTACATTAGCACCCAAGCAATTTCTTTTGTACTCTCCGCATAGCTCAACAATCTTGCAAATTTCAGTTTAGATATAACTACTTTTTTTTTGTTGACAAGCAAGTAAGGTGTGCTTTTCCTTAGCTCACCATCATTATGGCTGTTTACCTACAGATTAATGACGGGCTGGCAAGTTTTTCTGACCATTCTTCCAGACTGGTATGCACTGTTGAGATTTTAAAAGTTTTTTGATAATCAGTTGGAAGCTTTGGACAGGCACGTTAAGATAACAAATAGTTTAAGATACAAATAGTTAATACTGATTTTTAGTCGAAGAAATTCATTTGGAAGTCTAAGAACCCTTGTTATCTTTGAAATAGAAAAAGGGGAGCAAAGTAATTTTATAATTTTGTAGTTATTTCACTTTACAAAGACTGCAGCCACAATATGTTCAATGTGTCTAAATAATAGCTGCAATCTGTTCATTAAAATGATAGTAACTAGTTTTTCAAGATCAAATATATTTGAACGTTCAGATTCTCTGTATTCTAATCTGTAACAGCAAATTATTATTTTTTTAAATTTACAAAAAAAATTATGAAACAGTGGGTATCAATATGTTTCCCCTCTTTACAACTGTTCCCCTCTTTCCCAATTTTAATGGATACTTTTAGTGGTTTCATGCTCATATTTGAAATAGTCAGAAAAGTTATAAGATTTGCTCTTGAGCCTTCTGTGGTATATTTACAAAAGCCAATAAGTGGAGAGATTGAAAGGATAATATGTGTCTTGTTTTAAGAATGGGAAATCAAGCCATGCTTTCAGGTTGGAATTCATTTGTTTTCATGTTGTATTTCTCAATACATTTGTTCCATCTGGATTTAGCCCCTCTTCCCATGTATAGGACAAGATACTGTTAATGGTCTATTATAAAGTTTTGGGTTTTCTTTTTGTTTTTTAAACTTTTACTATACCACTGAGGTAACTAATTTCCTAGACTAAGAGTGGTTCAGATGTGGCTTTTCTCCCCCATGATATCCAGTGTTAAGTGGTGACATGTGAGCTCAAAAGGCAACACTGGACTTAAGTTCAGGACAGCTTAACTGGCCAAGAGGTACTGCTGAACTGCTTTTATTTCAAATATCATTGCACATATCTTGTCATAGTTGAGTTTTGTGTAATTCAATGCTGTAATCAGACTGAGTCACACTTAATGGGGGACCATCAAGAAGTTCAAGATTTTGCAGCAACTTTGTTTTAGTGTATTGGTTTTTAAAAGTTCAAGTTTAATCTTTCCTGCAATGCTGCTAACAGGACAAAAAGTTGTATTCATTCCCGAGAGATGTATAATGTAAGTGAGCGGTTAGCTTTATTGATCAAATGAGAAGATTCACCAGAATACAAAACCATTTCAATTTTTCAAGCGTTTTCATCTTCAGTAACTTAAAGTGCTATAGGTAAAGTAATTTTTTAAAATGCTTTTATGCCATTAAAGTACGTTAACAGAAAAGCTTAAAATAAAAAGTTACTGCAAAAATCATGATCAGAAAGGATCACTAACTCTAAAACATCAATGCTTTTAATTAAGTTACAATATTTTCCTTTATATAGCTTATATGTCTAGTTCCAGCTGATTTCTTCTGCAATAGTTAACATGCAAGTGAACAGGTTTAAGGATTATAGTTCCCATACGTTAGGTGTTCTTGTCATCAATGCTGCAGGACTAAAATAGTTCGGAACTACTATTTTAACAAATAACCACCTCTGTTTAAATGGTTTATTTGATTTTAAATACCCGAGAAGCTTTCAAAACCTTAAATAGGTTTTGTACAGTTTTTCCAAAGCTTCTTAGTCAACCTTTCCAATTAAGCATTGGCTGTATTCAGTAAAATAACAGTTCAACGAAGACAAAAAAGCAGAGTATCACAGAACAATTTACAGGTGACTTATCCACAGGAAGATATTGATACATTTATTTTTAGGTCACAGAACTGCATATGCATACTTACGAGCTTCTTCAAATGTTATTTTCAAAGGGTTTTTTAACACTAATATTTTGCATAATGTTTATACCAATTTAGTTCAAAATATTGACATTCCACCTTTGACAGTGTTGTCTGAATTCTCCCCAAACCAGATTAAGCTGTACCGAGTTCAACATTGCTCACCTTCCCGTCCCATTTGATTATAGTCAACGTGCTCTGAGATATACAGCATGTGCCACTCTGCTATGAAGTAGTGAAGCCTGCTCAAGTATGTAATTGGCATACAGAGGGTGTGACTTTAATGTTTTATATGTGGATTGTTTGGTGCCATCTTGCTCAATTTCATTCTCCATTCACAGCCTCCAAGAAAGATAATTTTTCTGCTCTGTTAGCCAAAGAGGCAGTTACTTCACTACTCACTCTCAGTGGTCTACAGGCTGAATCAGCAGTTTTCACTAGCTACAATGCCACCAGCATAGTAGCTACTGAGATAAGAATGGATTCAGACCTTACCATAAAGATTTGCCCT